AAGCGGCTCTGAATTATTTGTGCACGCAGAGTGGCCAAAGAAAATGGACTTTTTTGGAGATAGAAAAACAGCGGGGCCCATACCCAGCACAGAAGGCGGCCAACCAACCGCCTTTTGAGTGGCGTTTCTGCGGGATTGAAACTCCGGTGCTAATCCAGCGTTCTTGGTCCGGAGCCCTGTGAGTGGGAGTTGTTGGAAGAGATTCTCCATGTGAAATGAGCCCGGGCAGGAACGCGTTCGTGGTGGAAGAGTGAGGAAAAGGATATGCCGAGCTGTGGGAGTTGCTTGTTCTCCTTGGCGGAGGCCCTGCGCACATGCCAGGAGGACCCGATCCTCTGAGGCACGACTGAGTTGCAGAATAGAAACCACTGGGAGGGGGGTCTCTGTTTGGATCACGGGTAGGGGAGTCAGAGGACGGCGGAAAACAGGAAGGCCTGGCGGGATCTGGTCCATGGGGTCGCGAAGAGTCGGGGCTCTGTTTGGACCGCGGGTAGGGGAGTTTCAACCTCTCTTATCCTGTGTCATTTCCCTGATCTCATTGCCCCACTTCCCCGGGCCCTAAAGCAACCCACGGGGACAATCTTTGGTCAAGGAAATGGCACAGAGAGCGAGTTACCTCCCCCCTTCCCACAGCCACGGTCCTTCACCTTCCTTTTTGTGGCAGGCGACACATTGATCGGCTTTCCTGTGTCGTCTGGCACCTTGGCCGGCACCAACGTGGGTCAACCTACCCCTCTTTCCAAAGGTCCATGCATCTCTCTCACCCCCAGCCCCCAATTCTGGTTTGGCTGGAGGACTTTTCACCTACCCTATACCATTGTGACCATTCCTAAAGAAAGGGACACCCTTGCCTCGGTTTCACGGCCAGTTTTCTTACGAGCCTAAAGCCACCTCTTTTGCAAGTTTTCAGGAACTGTCCTCATTGGATTCTAGGCTGCATCTTCAGCCGAGGGGACTGCTCTAAGGGGGTCCATCTTTGATCCTGGAACCTGCCATTTAATGTGGATCTTCTGTAACCACATAAGACTAACAGAAACGACCCATCAGTTATATTATAACTGTGGCCCATGTTTTTTAAAAATTTTATTTTATTTTATCAATTTCTATCCCGCCCATTCCGGCCTAGAAGCCGGAATGAACATTTTGTTCTTGTGATTTCCCTGGAGGCAGTTCTGTGTGTGTGTGTGTGTGTGTGTCAGTCACCAAAATGTCTTGGTTAAGTGCATCTCAGTTAGTTCTGATCATGGGTGTTAGATCACCGCTAACAAAGATCCGGAGAGTGATTTCAGCAAAATGATCAGCTTTATTGAGGTAACGAACAAGCGCATAAAAGCATTCATAACCAGAACAGTTTAACATTGGGAGTCAGGCTCCTTTTAAACATTCCCGGGCTAATATAGCCACACCCATTTACACTTAACAACCAATGAGGTTGTGAGGATAAGGACCAATGATAGTTCTTCCCGCTCAGGGAATTAGTTCCGCAGCGACCAATAGCGTGTTAGGGTGGATGGAGATTCGTTTGGCTTGAAGCTTAACATGGGAGATCAATGAGGCGATTCATGTAAGACTTTCAATACATTACAATGGGGGTAGGGGTTCTCCTCGGCCAAGCAATAGAGAAAGGCAGGTGCCTTGGTGAAAGCATACAAAGCTGTCTTCTACTACTGAACCAGACCCTCAAAGTCAGTACTTATATCCAAAGCTACCAAATGTTGACTCCACCAAACTCCATTTTATAGCCCTTAGAAGAAAATAGTTCCCCACTGGCTTGTTTCACATTGTGTGGAATTAAAAATTACAGGCGTCAACTTTTCGGGTAGCGTATCTAGTTTGTGAAATGTTCGGGAAAGTTCTCAAAAACCACGCCAGCAGAAGCGTGTCTGAAGGAATCTTGGGCAGTGTTGTCCTCTCGTTAACCAACGGGCCAAAGGTTGGATGCTGCCCAAGAAAAGCACAGGCTGCCTCGTGCGTATTTGCCCTCCACCCTCTCCACCCCCACCACAAAAGCCTCGGAGGCAGCGGATCAGGTCTGCTTGTCCCTTTCTCTTCTCGCCGTTTCTCTGCTCAGAATCCGCCCTCTCTGGCTGACTTCCCCCAGTCACAGGGGAAAAAAGACTTACAGGGACCATCTCTTTTCTCCCGGGAGAAAAGAGTTTGGGGAGAGCCGTTTTTTGAGCAGAGAAGCAGCAGGAAGACAGAAGGATGAAGCATCCCCTCGCCTTTCATCCCTTAGCTCGGACTGGCAGCCACTCCTGGCTAGTTTCCATTAAAAAACAAAAAAGGATAACAAAGTGTTTAGACATCTCCTGTGTGATTGTTTAATTAGCCCTAACTCCTCCCTCCCTTCCTCCCACCCAAAGGGTCTCGCGGTGACTTACAACATTAGGTAAAGGTAAAGGTTTCCCTTGCTTGAAAGCCGGTCGAATCCGACTCTAGGGTTGCGGTGCTCATCTGTTTCCAAGCTGAAGAGCCAGCGCTGTCCGAAGACGTTTCCGTGGTCATGTGGCCAGCATGACTAGACGCCGAGGCACACGAAACACTGTTGCCTTCCCACCAAAGTGGTACCTATTTATCTACTTGCAATTTCTTGCTTTCGAACGGCTAGGTTGGCAGGAGCTGGGACCAGCGACGGGAGCTCACTCTGTCTTGCGGCACTCGGGTCTCGAACTGCTGAACTACCGACCTTCCGGTCTGCAGTTCAGCGTCTTAACCACTTGAGCTACCCACCACAGCACCACTTACAACATTAAGACTATATACATAAAGTTAAAAACAACAAACAGATAACAGATATAAAATATTAAAATTAAACATTTGTGGCTGGCACCCTGACCTAGATAGCCCGGGTAAGCTCGATCTCGTCAGATCTCAGAAGCTAAGCAAGGCCGACTTCAGCATGTACTTGGAAGGGAGACCTCCAAGAAATACCAGTGCTGGGACACAGAGGCAGGCAATAGCAAGCCACCTGTCTGAAATGTTCAAGCCCACCTAGGGGTCGCCAGAAGTTAACTGTGACTTTCACACACACATACACACAAAACACACAAAAAAATTGTGGCTAGCACCATAACACTAACAAAAACAGCCCAAACATATTGGTTACCCTTCAAAGGTCAACCTAAACAATTCGGCCTTGCATGCCCTGTGGAAACTAAACAAGTCCAGCAAGGCACAGGTGCCATCTAAGAGTGCTTTCACAGGGCAGGGGCCACACCCGAGAAGGCCTTTCCCCTGGTGGCAGCCAGTGTTCCCTCTAAGCTGAATCAGTGTGAGCTAGCTCACAGTTTTTTAGCTTCCAGCTCACAGTTTTTTGTCTTAGCTCAGGACGGCATGACTCCAGAGCAAACTAATTTATGCAGTAGCCAAAGTGCTCGCTCACAACTTTAAGGCCAGTAGCTCACAAAGTACAATTTTTGCCCATAAGACTCCACAGCTTAGAGGGAACATTGGTGGCAGCTAACCGAGCCATCCTGCAAGAGGTCCCAAGTGGATGAACGAAAGGAATGAAAGGAGCGTGGGGGGTGTGTGTTATTTATTTATTAAATTTATTTTATTTATTCAATTTATACCCCGCTCTACCCCCAAAAATGGGCTCAGGGTTGCAACGGGACTGTAGGGTACTATAAGTTGCTAGGAAAAAATGGAGCTCCCACCACGCACGGCAAATCGGGGAAAGTAACTCTTCTGCCATCCACCAATTCTCCCTTGCAAATTGCCTCCCCTTTACAGTTTTTAATTTGCATGATATTGCCCACCCATATTTGCCAATGGGCAGTGCCATCAGCATTGAGAGAAGGGATACTCGGAAAAGATCTGTTGAGGCACAAGGAGAGGCACAATATAAATGTTTTGATGAATTAAGTGATGGAAATGGAAGAAAATCAGGTATTGGGTCTGTTCATTTTAGTTTATTCCAGGGCTATTTTGGGGCAGGAACGCACAGGAACGGAGTTCCGGCTGGCTCCCGAGTTGGCCACGCCCAGCAGGAGCTCATTAGCATAACAGGCCACACACCACAGCAGACACTCATTAAGATTTGCCACATT